TTTTGCCGTGGGTGGTGGTTGGAGTTTTTGTGCAGGTACCGGTCTGTGTGGGTGGGTTTTCTGTAAACCTTGTGTCCCAATAGGAGGTCAGATTTGTGTATGACCATGACATCTAAGAAAGGGAGTTGGCCCTCTATTTCTTTTTCCACTGTGAATTGTATATTTGGGTAGATGCTATTGAGATTGTTTAGAAATTCTTCCAGTTTTTCTTCACCGTGGTTCCAAATTGCGAAGGTGTCATCCACGTATCGGAACCAGACTGTGGGTGCGAAGGGTGCTGAAGCCAGGGCCTGTATTTCGAAATGTTCCATGTAGAAGTTTACTCTAACTGGACTTCCAGAAGACATCAAGGCCCTTTTCCAACACCACCTAATGACCAGCTACTTTCAGTGGGACAATGAGTTCTATGAACAGAAAGATGGAGTGTCCATGGGGAGCCCCCTCAGCCCAGTTATGCATGTTGGCTGCAGTATTCTGGGGTCCGTGGTCTCAAAAATTAATTTTCCCAAGCTCTACTGTTGCAGCATGGAACTGTTGCTGCAAAACCCAATTCTCCCATCACCCATGCACACTCCTGTGATTCCCTCCTGGCCACAGGCTCTGTTCTTCCCCTCCAGTACCTAGCACTGCCTCCTTTCAACAGCCATTCATTCTTCTCTCAGCTCTCCTGTCATTTCCTCTCTGCTGCTCTGTATGTCCTCCACCACCACCATGGTCATTTCCAAGCCATTGCCTTGCCACAAAGCCCTTCTCCCAGCCTCAGTGTTCCTCCTTTCTCTCCTTGCCTGCCAGGATTTTTTTAGTGCCAGAAAAACAGGAAACTGAAACAGAAACATCCAAAAAAAGAAGAAAGAAAGAAAGAAAGAAAGAAAGAAAGAAAGAAAGAAAGAAAGAAAGAAAGAAAGAAGGTGCCAACAAGTTGGAAATATAGTGACCCTATAGTTACCTTCAAAGTAATGGAGATATTTAAGGACCAATCAATACCCCGAGTGAGTTTCCATGGCTGAGCACGTACATATTCAAACCCAGGCCTTCAGAGTCCTAATCTGTCACTCTACCTACTACACTACACTGAGTATCCCTCATACCCATAAGATTCCCAAAATAAAAGAAGAGCCCACAGAAAGGCCACAAAACAGATGTAAAATGAAATACACCTCCCACACATTCACAGCTTGCAGCAGTGAACCTAACACCTTCTCTGTATCTTCCTATGTCTTTGGTTATGCTGTACCTGATGTAAAAAAAAAATCTTGAAAATAGTGTTTCTTTCCTTGCTGTATTTACAAATGCTTCAGTGTGGTTTTAGGAATATATTTCAAATTCCAAATGAAATGATTGGAGGAGACAAGTTAGACAGGAGGAGCGCAAGATGTTCATGTTTATGAAAAGAGGCATGGATTTTAAGTGGGGAAGCACGGAGCTAAAACATATCCACTGTCACATAAATGTCACTGAAGCCAGCAAGACTTGCCTCCAAGTTAATGGATATAGGTCTGTAGCCTCATTAACCTGGTAAAGGTTCTTGCTATTTTACCATACTGCTAAATATTTTTGTAACCTTTATTTATTTTCATTTATATGCTATTCTTCTTTTCAAACAGACCCAGAATAATGCACAGCACAAAGACAATACGTATGTGACACACACAACAATAAATTATAAAAATGAAAGACCTCCCCCACCTAACAACAGTTTCAAAATTTGTGTTATGTTTGCTCCATTGACCCCATTTAATATGCATTTTAACACAGAGGTGCATAGCCTTGGTAAATGAAGTGAACTCTCTCTCTCTCTCTCACTCCCCTTTGCTGCCCCTCTCATTTTCTGAGCATGCAGCTGTGACATATGATGGTGTGCTCATTAGAATGGAATTACAGACTTTTTATTACATCCTGAGGGTCTTGTCATGAAGCCATACATTTTAAGCCAAGCCTCATTACTTTACACTGAGCAAAAGAATGCCACTGCACAGCTGCACCTGTTTAACAAAAAGTTTTGTCACTTACACTGCTTGCTATCACCTGTCAAATGGCTGCACTGTTATCACTTACTCATGAGTAGTCACCTGGGCTGCCAGCAGCCACAAAGTTAATGATCTGAAGTCCCTTGAGAGGGAGAAATACTCTGTATTTCAAAATGAACTTACTGTATTATGGCTCTCTACCCATACCTTCCTTTTTCTCAACAAAACAAGAAAGGTGACAGAAAATAGCTTTCTACTAATCAACATCAACACCATTAGTTCTTCTGTGCTTGCTACAAGCTGTCAAGTTGGAACCAACTCATAGCCACCCTAATAGGGTTTTCAAGGTGAGATATTTAAGGAGTGGTATTACCAGGTCCACTCCCCCAGCCCATTTCCGTGGTCAAGTGGGCATTTCAACCTTGTTCTCCAGAATCCTAGTCCATCCACTACACCACACTGGGAACCCTGTGGGAAATACTTCTAGTTCAGTATTATCTGTTCTAGGGATGCGATAAGTTTGGCCCTCCAGACATTGTTGGCCAGTAGCTTCCCTCATCACCCTACACATTCCCCATCTCTTCTACAGCACTACCAAGTTTGCATGCAGAAGGCCTTCAGTTCACTCTGTATGGTTTCCAGATTATGAATATTATCTGGAAATCATACAGAATGAACTGAAGGCCTTCTGTATTCAAACTTGGTAGTGCTGTAGAAAAGACCATATTTTCACAAGGCCAATTCAGAGAGATAAGTGCGAGGCACATCTGAAGCCATGCAATTTCAGTCATCCACCTAACAGCTCACAACTAACTCAGTAACATTCAGAAACAGCAATTAAAACTCAAAAGTTGAGGTATGTTGACAAATGAAGGATCAGAAGAAAGGGCATTTTATTGAAAAATATAAAGCTGAGGAACTGTAGAACAGCACTTTGCCTGCCTTAGCTGGACTTGACTATTCGATGGCAACCATCCTAGGGAGTACAGGAGAGAAGAGGTGTGAAGCCATAACACACTACTTTGCCCAAGAATTGAACATTAGAGACTCACTGGTAATTATTACATACATTGGGATCTGAGGAGGGCTTTTTCAGCACTTGTCTTACTACTGCCTCTTTTAAGCATGCTGAGATCCTACCGTGCTGCAAGGAAGCATTCACCCCTCCTCTGGCAGCTTTTATAAGCCAGGAACAGCAAGGGTCCAATGGACATGTGGTTGCCTTCACCTTTCCGAGAGTCCTGTCCACATCTTCAGGCTGCAAAAACTGAAACTTAACCATCAACACAGGGCAAGTAAGGGCCAAAATTACATTCATAAGATCTGTGTCAATGCCAAGTCAGAGTGGATCTGAGCAATTTTGCCTGCAAATTGTCACACAAAGTCTTCATCATGGGCTGCAGCATAGTCTGTGTTTTCTTCCTGTGGACCAGCATGTAATATGCCCTTCTACATTTCCAAGTGTAAACCCTGGTGTTTCCAATTAAAGGCTTGTGGAGGAAAAACCTCTGAGCTCCAGATAAACCACTGAAGAACTGGTATTCTGAACTGCCGAATGCCTCTGCAGATTGTATTTATTTCTACTGCATGGCTAAAAAGTAAACTGACAGAAAACTGACCATCTATCACATTAATAAGGAACATTGAAATCTTTTCTGAGCTATGATTTGTGTTGGAGTAGACTCATTAAAAAGGCTTGAGTAGGAATGTCTGGAAATAATTTTATCTCCAAACCTGGGTCCAGTCCTATCACAGGCCGTGCATAGGATTGTACTTCTCACAGATATCTCATACAGATATCTATAGTTGTGACCTAATATGCGAAAAAAACCCTTACTTAAAATAGGCCCTTAAAATAGGCCCATTTGAATCCATGGAACTTATAGGCAAATTGACCCACCAAATCCCCATTGTTTCAGTGGGCCTATTATAGTGCAATTTACACACTAAAGAATGGGATTTTGGCCAATGACTAATGGACATACTTGACACAAATGTTTGTGCACTACGAATAATCAATGAGACTTCTTCCAGCCAGTTTTGTGGATTTCAAGCAAAGTCCATTCCAATTTCCACAGCAGCCCATGATTTCTGGATCTTGCCAACTTCCAGGTGGTGCACTTTGGGGTGGGGGGGACGGAGCTGACATGAATTCCTATATCCCTTCCACGCATTTATCTCTCTTTGCTCTTAGGCAAAACAAGGCTCAAGGATGCTTGCCATGCCCCCCCTCTCATGGAATATTTTGAAGGAGTGCTAGTTGGTCACATGGGGCAAAGACAGACTTGTTGCATTCTGCTGTTGCTGCTTCACACAAACCAAGGTGGTATACTTTCCAATGGACAAGAAGATTTAGTAAGGCTTTGTCAGGGAAACTGTCCATCTATTATTTTATTGCCATGAAGAAGATTCCAATTACAGCCTGAAATCACTCTTTTAAAGCAGGGAGGGGGCACATAAACCGAGTGTACGAGATAAGTCTACACATCCAACCCCTTACTTCTTGTTCCCTCCACTTTCCATTAGATCTTGGCCGTATTTTAGTTCCAGTCTTTACAAACAATGCTTGCTACTTCTGTTTTCATCATTAACCTCAACTAAGTACTGACCTTCTCAGGACAGAAAAAACACTTGTAGACATAAAGAGCTCCACTGCAGGACATTTCACATGCATGATAGTAGACAGGTACCCAAAGAGGCAGATTAAAGCGTCCTGCTTATTAAGAAGCTGTAACTTTCGACTCCTGTCATTTTGAAACAGGCAACTCCAACAAAAACAACCAAATGATGTCCTTCAACTAAAAAAAGCATTTTTCCAAGGCATTTATACAAATCATACACATCAATTGTGAGAAGCTATTTTTGGTAACTGAAATATTTTTTTTTAGAAATTGCAAGTCAGTGGCCATGCTGGCTGGAATTTCTGGAAGTTATAGTTCAAAAAAGCACCCTTTTTGAGTTCTGCACCTCCCATACCCAACCCTATATGCATGTCTGCCTTTAATGAAGTCAAGTATAAGAACTACTGTAAGCTTGAGTGCAGCAATTTTATTGAAAAAAAATCTATGGATATGTGCATTTTCTTCATTAAAATACATTAAGGAGCAACTGATGGTCAGGAATTCAATTATACCTTTCTATACATGTTTTATTTCCAAAACTATACAGACATCAGAAAACTGTCCTTAAGTCTCTGTATTGGCTGTCAGTAATTCCATAAAGTTAATATACATAAAGATTATTCCTCATTCCCAGTTGCAAACCTATTTGAGATCAACTGGTGTTTACAGTTTGTGACCATAAAAAAGTCAGTCATATTTACATGTGCTTAAGGTTGCATAACTGAGCATCACACAGATGTTTTAAAACCAGCAGCTAACAGAATGATTTTCAAAAGTCACCCTACTGGCTCTTGTTGTTTTAATGTGCACATACTACAGGGAAATGGCATTTTAGCAAAGACACTTGTCCTCTTTCCCTTATGTTTCTCCATTTGTTTCACCGCAATCTCCTAAGTTGCATGCTAGCTTTCAACAGACTCTGTAACATAACAAAGGGATCCAGAGAGAGTGGGCAGGGGAGAAGGAACATACACATCAGCAAACAAATAGATGGTGAAATGCAGGCTTGTATATTGATATAAATGAAAATGCCTGGAAAGCAAAAGTTTGCTATCTTTGTAAAAAAAACAAAGCTATATTAGGTTCTGGTTCATTCAGATGGACAGTATATCTCAGCAAAAGTATTCCAGGTAAAAATTATCAGTGGTAAAAAATGGGAAAGGATCTGTTGGCTGCAAACAAAGCTTTAAAAGACCACTGGCATTCTGGCAGGACATAGCAATGACAGGTTCAGTTGCTATAGAAAGTGAGGAATAAAATGACACTCCAGAGCTAATCTGTAGTCTAAGATACTATATTGATTGGTCTTACTGATTTCTTCTGTCAATATAATGGTGTTTTGTTCAGCCTCTTATATCTTGTCTAACTTCTTAGAGATAGTGCTCTCTGCCCAAATTTTTCATGCATGAGGGAAAAGGCATTTATGCCTGAAAAAAAGGACGACGATGAAGAAGAAGCTTTTCTTATCCACATTTTTCTGCTAATATAGCCAAGTTAGGGCTAACAAAATGAAAGATAATACTGTATATGGTATCTCTGCTCCATTTAGCCCCAGCCCCAAAATCTTCATGCAGTAGACCCAAGGTAATACAAGGTAGTGGAATATTTACAGCAATATTTGTACATGTGCTCTTAGAGAGGGAACCCAAATGTTCTATTTTATTGTTACTATTATTTGGGTGTAAAGAAAAGCTATTTTTCTCCATAGACTAGTTTACCTTAATCTGAAGAGAGAGATGACTCTTTCAAAAAGAAAAGCCCATAGAGGACAAAGATCATACATTTCTCACCAACGTTCACAGTGATCTGTTCTGTGTTGTTGTCTTCATTGTTGTCATTGCTGAAATCGCTGAAATTATAATACTCAGATTCCAAGAGCTTGTGTAAGTCCTCTCTCCATTGTCCCTCCCAAATTCAGTGGTAGATTTCTACATGCTACTTGATTTTGTTTGTAACAAATTGCTTAAAATGTAGGATGATAGCATTCAACTACACAATAATTTTCCTGTCGTCTTAGACAAATGATATGAGAGTTGACATTTATTGGGCTATGGCACGAAAGAATTCAGACCACTGTGTTGTAAACTTGTTCAAAGTTCCATGAAACTCTGGTGTTTAATGAAGTTTTAATGAGTTAGGGTTGACCTACATGTCAGAGAATGCTCTGTGTGTGCAGGAATAATGCATGGGCAGAGTATTCCCTGAAATAGAAGAGAATGTGTGGCTCCTACTTGCAGGAACATCTGTTTATGTGTGTCGCAGTCCTCACGTTCACTATAGCCATTGCACCATGGCATCTAAGTGGATTTATACAGGAAACCATCTAATAAACTTCAAGAATAAGGCTCATTTCACTGATTTCCTTTCTGATTGTTTACAGGTAAAGGTAGGAGACCCAGTAAACGAGATTAAACAAACAAAAGGCAGTTGGAAAAAATATGCGGGCATACGAGTCCATTTTGGCAATACGGATATGTATTCTTCCGTGCCGCCATGCTCCTGTTCGGCAATCCTCAAAGCAGCAGAAAAAACTTGCACAGTCCTTGCCATCAAGACATTCATAACCATATTCTTCATCCCGTTCTTGGAGGTGTGTGGCATTGTTCATTTGAATTGTGGCTGATCTTGGACGGATATCAATTGTCGGTGCCTAGGGCAAATGAGTGGCAAGAAAGAAAAGGGGCAAAATCAATGTTTTGCTCTATGTTACAAAATTCTACTTCTTTCAAATAATATTTGGTGTATGAAACACATATTGCCAGAATAAGGCAATTCTTAAGATCATAGGGGTGTTGTTATAATGATGAATCCTTAATTTTGCACTTATTCAAAGCAACAGTCCAACGTCTGCACTCTAAATTCACTTCTGGCTTAACAGCAGTAGCTCAGTTTAATTCCAGATAGGAATATAGGAAAAAGAGCACGGATCACTGTTAGCTATTAATACAGGACTGTTTGAGATAGCACTGCTTGATACAAGAAGGCAATCCCAATTTTTATTTCATTAAAATCATAAACAAAAAAACAGAAGTTGAAACGTGAAAATGGATGCTTTGTGTTTCTCTTTGGGCAGAAATCTAAACTTTGTTAAAGGGAAGAGGATACTGTCAGATAAATTACCTTAGCATGAGTTGGGTGATCTTCAACAATGCTCTCTGGTACTAAGCATTCCTGAAAACATGCAGCTCTGGGTTAACGACTGTTCACCAGCTTGAAAGCTCCATAATGCCAACACAGTATACAGCAGCTGTACGCATATAACAGCTTGAATCATGTTTTACTGACAAACTTCTTTGATCCTTTGATCATGCTGCATGAAGCAGCTGCTGAATGATTAACACCCCAAAACAGTGGATGATTAAGGTTAAGATAAAAACGTGTTTGATGTGAATGATAATTATCATTTTAATTAATCTTTGATTTTGTGGATCTTTTTTTTACCCAGAACTGAACATCCGCATTTCAGAATGATTAATATTTAACATTACTATAGAGCTACCTGCCTTTGGACAACATATCTAAGAGCAAGTGACAGCACTGAATGTAAGCGCCTGATACCCTTTCAAAACTCTTGACAACGTAAGAACCATTTCAGGACCATTCCAATGAGATCTAACAGATCAGTAGACATCTTTAATAAATTTGTAATTCCAAAAGAGTTTATTGAGTTCCAAAAGGGTTTATTGTGGGTTCTCGGTGTAGCTGGTGCCACTGGTTTGGATCCCATGAATAACTGAAAAAAGAGAGCAACACAAATGTTTTGGATATACTACTAAGCTCTCTTCATGCATGCGATCCAAAAATGTTGAAATCCTTTGAACTTAACATAAGTTCAAAACAATAGTGAACCAGTGTTTGGGCTGCTGAATCTACTAGATGGACATTTCTAAATATTAGCCATTCTACTTCACTGCAAGTTTGCTCCAAGTAGAATGCATAGACATCTAATAAGCCTTCACTGAAGCTCTAAATTGTTCAATTCAGCAGTCACATGCAGTGGATTTCTATACCAAAAATATTATACCTTGAATGAAAACATCCGAAGAAGCTTTGGTTTTGTAGACAGAAAAGAAAAGAATCAGAGTTTTTAAATTAAAGAAAGGAAGAAAGGTGGGGGAGGAGACAAAAAAGCAGCATAAAGATACTTTTCTAAACTATATCAAGTTTGAAAAAACAGAGATAGAGAAACAGCTTTAAGAATAGAGAATTGGTTTTTAAGTTAGAACTTCAGAAATGATTAATATGTGAAGAAGCCTCTAGGTTTAAAAAGCCCCATAGAAACCATTGATCAATGTGTTGGTAAATAAGATGCTTGGGATTTGAGGCATTTCCAAATGCAGACAAATCACCATGTGAGTCAAAAATTCAAAAGTTATAAATTTGCTGACTCTTATCTCCTAGAAGAAAAGGCACAGTAGTGTTCACCCATCAGTCAAGTCTATAAAACGGGATGAGGTGAGGATCCCACAGGGTGCATGATGTCCCACCAAAACTTGAGTGTGGCCACCCAAGTCTCCAAAGCCCTTCTGAGCCCAGAAAGCCCAAAAGAATATCCCCAAATTTGGTCCCCAAAGTGCACATCACACTCCCCTCTGAGAAACACACTCTGCACTGTAGACTCCTCTGGTCGTCACTTCCTGTTTCTAAGGCATTCCAATGCCTAAAACAAGCCCAAGTGTACAAAGAAAATTATGTCCCCCTAGAAGCCTGGGGCAGTTTCGCCCTGGGGCATTTTGGAGATGCGTGTCTGCGCGCATATAACAAAAATGCTTGTTGGAAGTTGCCCATCCCTCCTATAGGGCTCAGTCACACTGTCCTCAGTTTCATTTATGTTCTGTCATTGCTGTTCCACCATCATCATTCCCAATATAGGTTGTGGAAAGTGGAAAGAACACAACTTATTTAAAACATTTATAAGTCACCTTTCACCAATGACTTCAAGGCATATAAAATAAGTAGGATATAATATTTATAAAACTTACAGCACTTTAAAAACAAATAGACCTTTAAAACTGTGTTTCAATGGTTGCTGGAAGGGCATACTAGGGGACAGGGGATAGAACAAATCCCCCTATCCTTTAGCAGAGAGGGAGGCTGATTTGCAGAAGAGGACGTCTGTGCCTTTACAAGCCTCCCTCTGGCAGGCACATAATGGTGCCCTTGTTACTCCATTTCTGTTGCACCAACGGTGATAATAGCAAAAGGGTTATACTGGGGTGGATCAGTAAAGGCTTTGGCTTCACTATTTCCAAAAAGGCCCCCAACTGCTCATGGAATAGAGCACTCCCAGGTATTCATCTTCCCTGCCAGTTGGGCTAATGACAGAAAGAATCTAGAGAGGAAGGATAGAAATGGCCCAAAAGAAAAAAGACAGAGAAAAAGAATGCTTCTTCCCTCAAATCCATGCCCATTCATATCTGGTCTGCCCTGCTGGTACAAAGCTCATAAGACTTAGGGTGTGAAAATTCCTCTACCTGAGATTCTCCTCTCTCATCCCAGAAGACTTTCCTGTAAAATCTGGAGAACATAAACTCTACAATATTTAAACACAGAGAACTACAGTGGAAGCTGGTCCCGTGAGCAGACAAAGTGCCTGGTAGTGTGCAATGAGCACTTTGTGAGATCATCACACATGTTTCTGCAGTTGGAGCTCCATGTGTACTTCAATATTGATCCTGGTCAAATAGTTCAAATAGATTTAAAATAGTCAGAAAAAGTTGAGGGAAAATATTTTTGAAATACTTCCATAAATAATATTCCCCCCCCCCAGTGCCTAAAAAACAGGAGAATTAGAGTCAACAAATGTATTTCTTCCAATTCTGATGTGTTTTGATAAACACTTGTTGGTTATGTTTTGCAATTGTTCAGATCACAATGACCTCCTCAAGCAAAGGAAGAGAGGTCTATGTAGATGGAAACTCCCTAGAAACTCACTAATAAATCTGCAAATAAACTTGCTAACAGGACAATTGCGGTATGTTCATATAATACCCTAGAAAGTACAGTTGACAGACCTATGGCCCTCCAGATGTTGTTCGATTTTACTTCCCACCAGCTCTTACTAGACTGGACAGTCAATGATATATGCTGGAAAGTATGATGATTTCATCAACATCTGGAGGTTTATAGGTTTCCTCCTGTTTCTGCCCCTTCTATAATGGTAAATGGCAGATAAAGAAAAGAGAAAAAGGGGGAAAGTACGGTGAGTAGAAAGAAAATGGAGGCCGATAAAAGGAAGGTAAGTTATTCACAGAAAATTCAGATTAATAAACTGGAAGTTTTACAATCCACTTTAAGCCCTTAGAAATTCTAGAGTTGATGGTCATTCAAAAGAGCTATCCAAGGTCCTGAACCTATTTGAGGAATGGAGTTCAGAAGATTGCATGGCTCTGATATAGTTTGAACTGAAGACTGGATCAGACTGACTACTCCACTGACACCCCAGCCATCACCCTGACTGAAGGTCTGTTTTGGTGAGGAGGAGAGGCACCAGATACATACATAGCTCATCTGATGTATTCTCCTTGTTTTCATCTTTAATATAACTGGAAGAATCAAGGGAGAAAGGTTCTCTTTCTTTTAAAAGGATAATGAAGCATCCCTGACAGAAGCTGTGAACTGCCTCAGTTGGGGCTGCTAATGTTAGTATGACCCAGCTGTTAGTTCTTGGTGCACTCTCCTGCCATAAGCAGTGCATGGCTTAGATTAGGGCCAGCAGAACAAGGCATACACTGCTGTGCCGTTGACTTGCTCCACCAATTCCAATCAACCAGAATTATTCTATACACTTAACCAAATCTGTCCATTCTCCATACACTGTGGGCACACCTGCACAGTTCAGCTCTTAAAAGTCTCCATGGATTGGGGTAGTGAGAACATCAATTGGATCAAAATAACTAGTCATTCTCATCCCTTCCCATTCCTGATCATCCAGCAAACCTTTCACAGTTGGCTATTGCCTCTACTGTAGCTACCAACAAAGAAACACTTTATCCTCTGCAAAGCACAATTGAAATGTGGGCATCAATTTGTAAAGTAAGAAAATACATACAGGGTTTTTCTTCTTTTTGTCTTTATCCTTGCTTGGCTTCCTGTTACTGACAAAATAATGAAGAGTCCCGTACTCCACCAGTGCAGAAAAAACAAAAATGAAGCAAACTGATACAAAGAGATCCATGGCCGTCACATAGGAGACCTTGGGGAGAGATTTCCGAGCAATTGTACTGAGTGTGGTCATTGTCAGGACGGTTGTGATACCTAGTGAGGGGACAGAAATGTTCAGAAAATACATGATTACTTATGGCAAGAATCATAATTCTGCTGAAGCTGACACACAGACAAATGAAGACGCAAGATGCAACAGATGGGCTGAACTAGAAGTCACCTATTTATTAGAGAATTAACACCTCTGCAGTGGAATGACTGTTAGCTGCCAGCTCTTTTCTCAGTGTGGGCAACCAACTACCAAAATGAGAGTAAAGAAACAATCTTACTTGTTCCCTGTTCTAGCCTGTCAAAGGGGGTTTTAAAAAAAAGTAAAACTGCTGCCTTTCTACACATGCACACAGAAAAGGGCAGAGAGGGAGAGATAGAGAGATTTGGCTAGCTAGGAAACCTCACCCCCCCCTTTTTTTTACATTGGTTATATAAAAACTGGACCAGAAGTTTTCATACTGATTTCACATAATATAAAATGATTATTATCTCAATGTTTGCACAAGATAATATGGAGTTTACTTTCATGTGTGCAAGCAATGCTTCCATATCTGCATATGATTAATATAGAATAACACTGCTGACAGGTAATGCAGGGCATGTGGATCTCTATAAAACATGGGAGGAGGAGTAACTGGCATAATCGCTGATCCAGGCATGGTGTAGGTCCCCTTGCCCCAGCTTCTTACACTTCATCTGAAGCCCAAGAGAAGGTGTCATAAAGTTATTCCTACCAGGAAGCTTCTTTGGATCAGGAAGCATGGGAAAACAAGAAGGAAATGTGCTATTGGCAGGGCAGAGGGCAAATTCCGCACTGTTGGCTACCTTGCAATATTATGGTGAGCTCAAAAGCATTATAAAATGAACTTAATAAGAGAACTGGGAATAAGGCAGAACATTGAATCCTTCATGGGAAAATTAATTATGGGGGGATTTGGAGGACAAATCATGACACAATACTAGCACTGCCATCCTGTATACCTGCACATAAGGAAGTAGGCATATTATAAGCAAGGTGCTGAAGAATAACAAGGCCTGAACTAAAGTTTTCCAGGTTTTTTATTTTAAAAGGATTCTTTAAAACATACTGAGATCCCTTTTCTACTTCCCACAGAGAAAATTGATGAACTATTCCTCACCCCAGTTTCTCTGCTAACACAAACAATTTTGAAAGGTCATTTGTGCACAGATACTCTACGAATTTATCTATTTAGGCAGATTAAATGGTGGAACTACTACCTCCACAACCCTGTTGAGCAAAAAGTGGTTTTGCATACACATGAGACCTATTTTCTTCTTAGTAACAGATTTTTTATCTAACAAGATATTACTCAAGGTCCCAAGAACAAGAGAAATATTGCCTCTGGCACTTTAAATTACATTCCTTTTTCCATGTAATTGAGGTGGAAATCCAGACTTCGTCCCTGCATACACGTGTGCATCTCCTTTGTTTGGTAATGCTGTGTTTCTTATATAAACAGAACTATGTTAGAAACATCTTGTAGTTCTTGTAATCTAGTATGGGAAGGGCTGTGATCAATGGCATGACAGAATTTCATGACAACTCTGATGCAGTTACTGTTATTCTAGTAAATTCATCTGGTTTGAGTTTTTAGGCTGCATTTCTCTTTTGAGTGAAAGAATTTTGCTTGATGCACAGCCTGAAGAAATAGAATTTCTGAAATGTAAGCACAAGGCTTAAAAAAAATCTCTGATTTGAAGAAGAAATTCAGATGTAGCTAAAAATGCATTCCCAACGATACATGGATCAAACAATCTTTCTGATGGCCATGCCTTTGGCAGCTGTATGAAAGGGCTCTAAATGTATTTAGGGTTCTTATATACAAAGAGGAATCCTGTTTGGTACAGGATTCTCCCTGCAATGAGGGTCATTCACACTGCTTTTAAATGAAAATGTGGTACCTGAAAGGGAATAACAAATATGTAAATAAATCCATACAACAAGAGTATTTCTGTTGATGAGGCAGGTTTCCCCAGTCACATTAAACATGCAAAGGTCTTGTTGACTTCTAAATGGAGTGGGGACATAGAGGGCACGGCTTCCATGAATTTCCCCATCCCCATCACCCCTGCAGCCCTTTGCAGTTTCAGTTTTACTCAATGCATAGGACTTATCTGCTTTGTAATGAAAGTGCCTACAAAAAGGCCCCTTAGTTCTTGAGGTATACAGGAATCATAATGAACAGCAATACCATCCAGGTGACTCAGGCTGGCAGAAGGGCTTGTGCATGAACTGTGATATATCTGTGAAAATCCTGTGAGAAACACCAGGAGAAATCTCACCGATTCTGGACAGGGTGAGCAATACATTATAATAGTGCCCTCGGGTCTTTGCAAGCAACACATCTCTTTCTAGCCTCTCCAAAGCATTTACAAATATTGATTAACTGAGCTTCCAAATACCCTTACATTTAAGATCTATGTATGGTCCATGTAAACATCTCACTTGGGTCCACTTTGACATTCAGGAAGTATCCCAATATTGAAATGTTTATAACAGACAGGTCCACAACTATACACAGTGGCATCTGAACCAAAGAAGCTGAAATTTTTGTTTCAACTGGAAATAAAGCTGCAGTACATGTAATGACTTCATCAAGGTGTCAAATGCTACTTTTTTAACACCACAGAATTACTGTAGTTATAGACAGTGACTCAATTTCCTGAATGAGAAAACCTGGGCACAGGAAGCTTTTAGGTCTGTTGAAACATCATCTCAATATAAAGACACTTTGGTATGTTTTGTTTTTGGTAAGGATTGGGCAAGTATCTCAAATAAAATCAATGTACCAGTGTAGATGGGTAGTAGCATTCTGTCATTAGGCCCTATTAGATCAGAGATTTCCAGTCCACTTTGAACTCAGAGATGTGCCAGATGCAAGCAGTTAAGATTTGGTGCAATCTTCTGCCAACTGACCTTAGTGATCTGCTGACAGAGTAATCTGCTCTGCTGACTATGATCTGTCAGCAGAAGTGCCAAAAATGGGAAAAGACCTGAGTTATTCCAGATTCAAACCTCATATTGCCAAGACATAGCCATAATCCTGGCACAAAAGACAGAGTAGGGCAACAGTAGTGGTATATAATTCCTAACATCCCTGGGCTAGGAGGAGTTTAGATTCAGTCAGTTTTCAACTGGCCAAGTATCAACCAACCATTTTGGACCATTACATTGAACTGTGGAATGGGGTAAAGATTTACCATTTGGACAATTACATTGAACTGTGGAATGGGGTAAAGATTGTCCATATTTATGACATTTTGGATCTACGAGTACAGGTACTATTTAAGAGGGCTGTTGAGATAGTAACAGATTACAAAGAAACAATAACATACCCAAAGATGTTCTGGCTGGAACAGCATCCTTATTAATCCAGAAGGAGACCCAGGACAACACTACGATGAGTGTGCAGGGGATGTAAGTCTGAATGGTGAAGTAGCCCATCCTTCGGCTAAGATCAAAGTAAACTGCCATGACCACATAATCTCCTGAAAAATATGTTATATAAAAAAATCACATGACATAGTTCAGTGACATTACTATTCAATACTGAAACACCAGGGTTTACAAATAAATGTCCAGTTGGGGAACTAAAATAAGTTAATATTTCGGATCAGGACAGTGTTGTTTTTTTGTTTGAAGAAAAGCATTTCACTTGACCACACCTTTTATTCTTTGGGCAGGGCAAGCTAGCTTACTAGCAACTACAAGAGAGCACATCAGGTCTGGTATATATACACTGAAGTTGACTGATCCATTAATTGCAGTGAGATTGTACTAGCTTCAGTTCAGCACACAACTGATGTACTGTAAGCAAAAGGATGGGCCAGCCTGCATCTGCTCAGCTCCTTTTAATTTCCTCCATGCATATTTCATTCACTATTTATTTATTTGAAATATTTTTATCCCACCTTTCTCCTTATAAAGGACCCAGTGCCCATCACTGCCCTACTCTTCAGTTTGATATTAGTGATCTAACTGGTCTAATTCAGTACGGTAGCTCTTCATTTTGTTAAAAGTCAACTTACACAAAGACATCTGTTTTAGTCTCTTCCAATAGGTGTCTGTTTCAACAAAGACTAACAGGTTGAGAGTAAGACGTTTAGTGAAACATGAACTACTGGCCAGATAGCTCACTGAGCTGGAGGACCTGAAAACCAATGCTTGACAACCTGTGTCTCCTAGGAAAAGAGCCAGACTCCGTAGTCTTGGACAAGCAGTACAATCCCAGGGAATAGCCACTTCTGAATGCTTTAAATTTAGAAAACCCTGAGAAGTGTTGCCACAAGCCAGAATAAACTTGATTGTGACCAATGACTAATTATTTTTACATTGAATTACAATCTGCTTCCTCAGATTTGAGATCCATGATCATCTGTGCTGCAATAGATCTGTTCATCTTAAAGGTGCCAGAAGAGTTTGTCCTTTTGTATATATTTAGAGCAATTATCGGACAGGAAAGGCAACAAAGTAGACATGGTCTAGAGGGGTGGGGTATACATTTAATAAACAAGACAGGAAAGGCAACAAAGTATGTTCATGCAAAAAGCAAAAAAAGGAGAGAGTATGCCTGGCCATCACCAGGAACATAGATATAAATTATATACAAAACATTTGACAAATAGAAGTGTTATGTTCACAACAAAAATAGCCTCAGATGCACAGATAAACAAGTGGGCATGCATACATACACACACTAACTCTGCTGTCTGCTAGGTTACTACATTAGCCAACATACAGTTCTCTCTCTCTCTCTCTCTCTCTCTCTCTCTCTCTCTCACTCTCTGTCCCTCCCTCTTCCTCTCACTCTTCGTTTAGAATATTTAGGCAAAACCCCCACACTTCTTAACCCATGATGCTTTTGTCACTCTTTGTTTAGAATATTTAGGCAAAAACCCCACACTTCTTAACCCATGATGCTTTTGAGGATACCTTGCGTTTTTAATGTTTCTGGCTTCTCTATTCACATTTTTGTGAGTGATATTGGGTTTATTTATTTATTTATTTAATTTACATGCCGCCCACACTACCCAAAGGTCTCTGGGTTGGGGTACATTAATTGTTGTCGGTTGCCCAGAGTAGTGCCCTGACACAAGATGGGTGGGATATAAATCTAATGAATGAATAAAGCAAGTAAAATAAAAACTGAATTGAGAAGACTTGCAAAGAAGGCGATACAATTGTGGCAATTGTGGATGACTTGTGACTGGGACAGGAACTCTCTCCTCCCTGTCCATATGTGCCCCTGGCTGCAACTACTTATACTGTGTTGTGTTGTGTTTTAAGTGATTCTTTTTAGCCTGCCTTTTAATCTGCAATGTAATTGATAATGTTGTCTTCAATCATAAAGCAGGAAAAGAGCAATAAAAATTGTGTGGCGTTATTATATTTTTTAAAAAAGTCAGTAAAAAAACAGCAATAAAATAGTGACAGCACAATAAAAAGAACTTCATTGTTCATTTAAAAACTTGAGCAATCTGAACAGCTTCACAGCACAGGCCTATAAAATATTTCCTCCAGGGGAAAAAATCTCACTGTCTAAATCTCAAATGAATGTGCAGATGGTAACCACCTTCACCTGGCACCTAAAACTTGGAAAAGGAGGAGCCAAGATGTTCCATTACCCACAAGTCATTCCTCAAAAGGCAAAATCTCCAGCAGGGAATCACTGAAAAGGAATTGATGAGTATAAACATAACATTAATAACTCAGATATTTTTCCAGGCTGTGACAGCTTGTTCTGTACAACTAAAAGCTATGCTCTTTGATTTATATGGATGCCATGTAACTTGATTAAAGACTGTGCTTAAAACAACAAAGCACAATAAAGCCACACACTTGTTCTTTATCAGAATACACAGCAAAAGTTAATTCAATAAAATTATTTTAATAATAAACTCCCCAGTGTTTGGCAATGAAGTTAGGCTTGACTTTTGCTCAGATATGGAAGCAATGTAGGGAATAATTATGCTTCACTCTGATGAACTCAGTCCAAATTAACAGCAAAATGCTGCATTTAGTTTCATCTGGGGGATGTCACAGTGCTCTTGTGTGTCTCTAAATCATTTTATTGTTTTGAAAATACTCTTATGTATGGAATATGGCCTTTCATTTTTCTTGTCCCACAGACTTATTAACTCCTGCCTGTGATGTAATGGGGTGGTGTAGTGTGAATGAGATAGAGCTTAAAAATTACTCTTTTGGACTACAAATACTTAAAACCTTCAGCCAGCATAAGCCATGATATATTTGCCCAGAAAAGTAACTTTGCCAAGCTCTGAGAAAGAGTTTGTGAAGGTTACTTTCCCCTTGCATATTATTAGCCAATGGCCATGTCTAAGGGAGCAGTCCAGAGAGGAAGACCACCTAATTGCTAGGGCTCTAGAATGCAAAGGAAGCTCTAATCTGTTGATCTGGAGAAAGGTAAGGGCGTCATTATGAGGCTTATGGGATCAATGAGCAGGTCTGGTGGACTAAACTGGAACTGAAGTTAATCCGTTGAGGAGAGAAATACACCCAAAGGTAGAAACATCCAAAGGCCCCACTTGTAGGCATGCTTGGTCTGCAGAAAGAAATGGCTGTAGGAAATCCACAAATGTGGTGTTTCTAAACACAGATTATGGCTGTGGTGCAACTGAAGCAAAGATCAAGCCAAAGGACAGGCATGCCCCCAAGATGGAAAGGAAACACACTTACCTCAGGGGCACTGAAACTACTGGGGGTTGGGGTGAATCCTGAAATTTCTTTCCCTCTACTCTACCCTTCCCTTTTTTAACATCTTCTCTAAGTTATGGGGAACTTGAAAGCATGTACATTATTTTGTGGGCATTTTAACTGGCCTTTAGTTGGGTCATAAAAGTACCACTACAACATGGATTTTGGGATTTTTCTTAAGGCCAGCATATCTACTTTGGCTTGGGTATCCAATCACCTTCTTATAGGATTACAGTATGGCCCTAGTTTTAAAAGCACATACTTTATAGGCCAGTATCCTATTGGTCTTTGGGTGAGGTTTGAAAAACTTGCTGAGCATATTGCTGCTAATTGTCAATGTGCTGGAATATTTTTAAAAGCACATATAGGCCAGTATCCTATTGGTTTTTAGGTGAGGTTTGAAAAACTTGTTGAGCAAATTGCTGCTAATTGTCAATGTGCTGGAATATATCTTGACTGAATGTCTGGTTCTTCACCCTTGAACCTTGGCAATTAGCCATAATTAGCAGGGGCAAATTACAGAAACCTTGTGCATACACCAGTAGGATTCTGGCCATGCACTCCAATATTTCTTTCAGACAGCACACTCTAACTGTTGAGACCAAAAATTAATTGGAAACCAAGTGTCACACTGAACCTTGGGCTGACATGATCTCTTCTGCATGCCAGAAAGTATTGCAATGTTTTCATTTGATTGAGATTAATATGGTTCCAAATGATGGCCAATCCCAGGGAATTGTTCTACAGAGAAAAATCAGTTTTACACAGTGGTTGGCCAGCAGTCTCTAATTGTGGGCAATCTGGTCCATGGGTACAGAAAGCCTAACAACTAGCAACTGAAGCACTCCTCCTTCAGCTGCTGCTTTGCCTGGGAGCCGACTTAGCTGGAAAGCAAGGAATAAGCAAAGCGACTGAATCATGGACTCAAGGTCTTGCAGCATCTCCCATAACCTCCCCCTTTGCAACAGTGAGGATCTGGGGAAAGGTCATTATGAGGCCTGTGGGATCAATGGGCAAGCCTGGTGGATTAAACTAGAACTGAAGTTACCCATCCTCTGTTCTAATGTTGCTGGGATTAATCAACAGCTAAGCAAATTATATATCTGAGCTGTACTCTATGTGACTGTGGTGGAAGACTCTGATTATGAAAAGTCATGTTCCGTTATCTTGACAGCCAGAGTTCTCAGTTCTCAACCTCTTGCCTTCAAATTTATATTTTGGGATCCCTTCTAATCCAAAATCTGTGAAAGGAGCTCTGTCTATTGGCCTCACAGGCTGGCAAAGTGCAGGCAAAAATGTTGGTGTTTGTTCTGTTGGATATAGTATTATGGAGAATGGGCACTACTTTCTGTCCTGTGATGGATACCTAGGACTATCTTAAGCAGAATCACTCCTCCAGTTCAAGTCACCTCTGACTTACGGTGACCCTTTGAAATGATGATCTCCAAAATGTCCTGTCCTCAACAATCCTGCTCAGCTCTTGTAAGTTCAAGCCTGTGGCTTCCTTAAGGGAGTGAATCCAACTTGTATTTGGTCTTCTTTTCCTGCTGCCTTGCACCTTTCCAAGAATTACTGTCCAAAGTAGGACAGCCCCAATTTCAATATGTTTGCCTCCAGAGATAGTTCAGGCTTCATTTGCTCTAGGACACACATATTCATTCTTCTGTCAGTCCAACGTATTCACAAAGCTCTCCTCCAGCACCACATTTCAGATGAATCTGCATTTTTCCTGTCCACATTCTCTACTCTCCAGCTTTCATACCCTTTCATGGCG